TTGTTTAACGCCTCCCCCCCCCCCCCCTTTAAAAACAGGTCAAGCCTAACTTAGAATAAATATTCTTCAGCTCTTTCTCTAGTCAGCAAAGCATCTAAAATTAAGCATGTGCCCAGAACTATCCTTCCAGGAGCATCTCTCTCTTTTCATATGCTGTAAAGGTGAACAGGGAGGTTACTTTCTACATGTTAATATTAATTTCAGGAATACATTTAGACTGACAGATATGAATTTAGGACATGCTTTGATCTGACACGATTTACAACTTCTAAACTATTAGTGTTACTAGTAAGACAAAGGCAAACTGTTGTTATGGCAAACTTAAACCTGACTAGTCACTTAAAGCCTTTCCATGCAGCAAAGAAAGACACTCTTTTCCAAAATGTGTTGAACTACTGATGCTGACAAGAAACATTAGTCATTTCTAATTGTTGTCTTCTCTGATTCAAACCACAGCAAAAATATTCAGATTTACCTTGCATGCAAATTAAAAAGCAATAATACTATCTTGTCTGGTCACTAATAACATTTAGCACTTGCCAAGGCTCTTCAAAGCACTTGTCATTGCCGTTTAACTCTTCCGTCACTTTTAGCATGAAGCTCAGAGAACTGTTACAAGTCAGTATCATTCAACTATCTGTAAAGAACTTTTCTAATAGCTCATCTAACAGGCAGAAAAAAAATTCATCTGAAACCACACGACTGGAGTGTAAACAATAGTCTGAATCCATCAAATCAACACCATGTCAGACACAGAAAATTTGTCAAGGCCTTCCCCCAGTGGCTATTTTCAACAATTTTCACTAAATCTGGGTACATTTAAAATTTGCTATTCAGCAGTCAAACAGATATGAATGAAAATTCTTTTCTAATAATTAGTTTACAAGTGAGTTTATTTCTCAGTTCCAATTTAAGATTTTTTCATTTTAGTAGTAAGTGTCAACACAGAGAATGAAGCTCCTATAAAGTCAAGTCAGGCAGAAAAAGAGTATAGTCCATAGTAGTTATTATAATGATGATTGTTTTCTTGTCCATATCAATTATCTAATACAAGTCTTTCAAATATTTCAAGATAATGGACTTCAGTTATCTGTCTGGAGTCCATGAAATTTAGGGGGAAAAATAATTAATTATGACAGCCCCTTGATCTGGTTAGTTTATTAGCTTTACAAACAAATGATCATACACATTTCTTCTTTGGAGTTAACAAAGTAAATTTTTCTTCCTTCCCAGTGCATGACTACCTTAAGATTTCAGTGAGATGTATAGCTTCATTTCTATATATAACTTCATTTAAGGCACAGCTATTGGGATTTTCAAGCACCAGTTATCTAAGCTTGTAAGCTAGTAAGTTACTTTTCTAGTAATATACAGTAATTATCCTCAGTAAAATGAGACTGTCTAGTCTTAAAAACATTTACTCTCTTAAAATTACTGTCTTCTACTTTGCAACCAAGTCGTGTTGTCAAGACTTTGTAATCTAAAATGAATGACAAAGTGTTGTAATTTCCACAGTGTTCCTCTCTCTCTCCCCACACTGTTCATTCATCACAAAATGCAAGGAACTCCGTGCTGTAACAGGAATGAAGTTGTACATCTAATAATGATAAGCAATAGTTCTGTAATATCTTTACACAGAAAGGCAACTCCATCAATCTTCAAAAAGGAGTGTGTGTTTAAATAAGGCAAAATAAAACTTTCTGTCCAGAGGAGGAACACAACTCGTACATACATATACAACTATTATTTCTGCACCAATTCTGGTTGCTAAAGACAAAGCTATTGCTTTACCAGATGGGGAAAAGTAATGACCTGAAATCAGAAGAAAGGCACCTAATTTTTTTTTTTTTGAGCAGCACCAATGAAGATTTTGTTAAAATCTCTAGCTATCCCAAAGTCAAAAACTACATCTTTGAAATCCTAAATAGATTTTCAACGTAATTTGCCAGAGGAATCCTATAACCTACCCATCTAATATATTTTCATTATGCATCACCAGGAAGCAAACAGTATTTAACATGGTAATCCACAGTACTTATTTACACTTAACAGCAAGCTCTAATCCAGTCACATCCCTGATGAAAAACCACAAAAAAAAAAAAAATCCAAAACAAACAAAACCAAACAAAAAAACCCCACTGCTTTAACTTCAATGCTTTATAATCATTATTCCAGACAGCCCTAGCCTTTTTAGTCCTTGCTGCACTCTCATGGAGCATGCACCCCAGATGCCTCTCTTCACATAAATCTACTACAAATATGCTACATCTCTGTGCCCTGTTTTACAAAGGGATCCTCCCAATGAAGAGAGGTTATAGTGAAGAAACCTTCCAACAAAACATGCTCTCAAGATTGAGTTTGAATAGGTACGTGTAGTAAGAACACAAGTTTTATCACCAAAGGTGTGCTTCAGTATGTCATTAGATCAGTTGCCATAGCAAGGTGGCATATATCAGGAATGGGGATATCGGTGTGCATTTTACACAAAAGGACAACTCACGTGAACTCCAGACATCTAACTCATGGTAATAAAAATGATGCAGACCCTAAGATGGCAGGTATTCAAAAAATCCAGTTTTGATATACCAACAATAGGACTGATCATCAGCGCTAATCTTATCCTCCTTTACTGCTAAATGAAATGTGACCAGATTTATGATTCAGTTTCCCATAAATAGAGCTGGTTCATCAGAAAGTAGTTTTATCTTTAATGTAATGTTTAAATCACAGCCATTGTTTCAATCCCACATGATTTCCTTTTAAAAGAAGGTGTAAGCTGTGGCCTAAGCTATACTGTGTCCACTGATCATTTTTTACCATGATTTAATGAAATGTATATTTTATGAAACTTTCATGAGAACAGAAACTACTGCATTTAATGCAGAATAACATCAGTCCAATTTAACAGCAAAACCAGTTTTACCCCGTGATGAGAACAACCCTGGGAAAAGAAAGCAAGAAAAGTTCAACAGAAAATACAGAAAATACCTTTTACCTAATAGTGAAGTCAATACCCATTTGATTTCTCACGTCAGCTAACTAAAGCACATGAGAGAATTCAGTATTTGAAGAAAAACAGTAGTACTTTAGTCATCACTTCCTAGGCCACCTTCAGAATAAGCATTTTATCTGAAGTTGTAAATACATCTATTAGAAATACTAAGAAATATTATTATTTCATTGTGTGCAGAATCCAAGATTAGAGCAGCAGCAGCATAGGATATGCTAATCTTACAACTGCTGACTACATAGGCATGCTGGCTCATTTAAGTGTCTTTGAAGTTGGCAGAACTAAGTATGTAACTTCCGGCTTGTCAAGTGGCATCCTTTGATGGTTAAGCCTTTTTTGTGAGGCAATTTCAGAGATGGATTTTCAAAACACACTTAAAGCAATCCATGACACAGAATACTTTCCCAAAGAATACCCAACTAGCTTTCCTTCAAGTAAGTGTTTAAATGATAGTATCATACTGCTATTAAAAGGTACTAATATGCAAATGTAAATCAAAACATACTTAGTACACTGCATGGGTTGTTTGTACCACACATGGTTCCATCTTGCCTTTTAAATTTCTTTCAGAAGATTAAGGGGAAGACTTAACACTTAACTTTTGAACAACAGTAGCAAAGTCCAATATACTAAATTAAAAAAGAAGCCTGGCACTTGAATTTCCAACTAATGCACTATGCAACAAGCGGTGCCAGATCATGATCCAAACTAACATTACACCATTTTATCAAGTCAGCAACCTAAGGAAACAAACAAGACACTCACCTCAGAGTAAGCCAAGGTAATATGCTCATATATCCCTTGATGATGATGGATAGCATCTTCTAAATCTTGCAGTTCTGAGGGAAGCTCCACCTCACCACAGGCTTTACACCATGAGTCCACATTGCTCATGTACTGCAACACAGAAAAAACATTCTGCTTGATTTTGGGCTCTATCAATAAGTACACACGTTAGCAATATACAAAATGACTGGCATCTGCATGACAGCCACTGAAAAGACTTTTTAAGGGAAAAATGCTTAATGCATTTCTCTCTGAACTAACCAAAATGAAGCTTATATCAGAATAGAAACAAATATTCAAGTCTGACTACACTTTTGCTTTTAGTTATATGGAAGTCTGAGCCGTTCACAGACAGGCAGGCTTAGTTGTATGTTAGCAGCCTTCAGAACCAATTAAACTGTTGGCAATACTGATGCTTCAAGTTTACTCTTGCTCCTTTTCTTGACTTTGCAGATAAGAAATAGTTTACTTCACCCTACACCTACCATTTCAGAGGCACAAGAGCCAATTAAGGTCTTGTCTAAACAAAGAGGTAAAACATGCTACAATTCTCAAGTCCAGACCCTCAGCTCTTACCCATGAACTCCCTGTGCAGATACTCATGGTATCATGAGGTATCACCTCACCTTTTTCAAGTCTTCAGAGAAAAACAAGTTACTTTGCACGTATGTGCATATATACACAAAGAATTAATGGTGAACTGTTCACTGAAACACTCCATAGTTGTCTTTTGCTGGAAAGAGATCATCAAGGAGGCAAAGCAGTGTTAGAGCACAGCAAATTCACACCTCAGTCCCCAAAGCACTAACTTGTACGCGCAGAGAAACACTAAATCCATTTGGCAAGCTACTACAGCAGCAAGCATGTAAGGGATTTACAACTTAAGTGGAGGTCTCTTAGGACTGGCACAGAACTTTGGCTCAAGACAAGCCTTTCAGGGGAAATTGAGGGTACTACAACAGAATCTCTTCTGCAGACAATTTAAGTTATCTCTGAAGGTCAAGCTGTCTTGACAGACAAGAAACTGCCATTATAGCTGTATGCACAGCCGAAGTTCTGTCAACTTATTTTTGACAGCTAGAGGGCATGAATTTTATACCCTTGTTATGCTAGGAAAGGAAAGAGGGGGGGAAAAAAGAAAATCTGTTTTTCCAGGAGTTTTCATAGCTGTTAAACATAGAACATCCAAGCACATATGGTATGTGTAAACTAAATTTGTCCTCTACTCATGTCAAGTTCAAGTCTCAAAAGTTTTAAGAGACCAAGCCATTTCTCTCATCATATGTATCTTAATTCCTGGAGCACATGTAGTCTTTTGAGGAAAAAGTAATCCACGGACCATTTCTGGTACTCCATTATTGTTTGAAAGCTAGGAGGAAGGGCGATAGAGTACTTTAAGACACGTATTTAGTTCTCATTTCACCAAGGGACAATTTAAAAAATCTCTAACATTAAGCACTGAGCATTAAAAGAAGCTCCATGTCGACCCCCAGAGCTACACCTCTTGCACCAGTCAGCAGGCACTGATAGTCGGGTGCAGTTTTCACTGTGCCTGACAGTAGGCAGCGACACTTACCTGCCACTTGCAAGGGAACACATGCATTCAAGAAGGTTGTGTTATTTCTTTGGCTGCTTATTTTTTAATCATCTTTTTATGTAGGTCAACCATCACCAGTCTCTAAACGGGTCACTGCTCTCATTCCAAACCCTCTTTCCTTGAACTCACTCTTCACTGTTAACGAAACAGCTAATATATCCCAGCCAGGTATCTTACAAAGCAACTATGACAATCCATCACAGTTAATCATAAAATGAAAACTGCAGAAGGAGCAATTAAAAAGTAAGTTAACCCCCGCAGATGCTGCACTGTTTTCTCTCATTCTTCTCTTTCCTCCTGTTTACACTTACATTTAGTGCTGAAGAAGGTAACACCGACCCTTATCACAGTTGCCCAGTGCGTGCACACACACACAAAATTTACTTCCCTGACTTCTGATGAAAATAATTTTCTTATGAAAAAGGACAGTGTTTGAGTCAGGGTATACCTATCCGTCATGTTTTACCATCTCTCTCCTGCATGTATGGCTGACAGTGCTTCAATGTAAACCTGAATAACCCAAGCAATGAGAAAAGCATCAATCCTGATAACGTACTACACTGTGTCTATCAAAAGCTTCAAGCTGGTTGGTGACTTTTATACGAGAAAACAATTCCTTTGTCTCCTTTTTATGTGGCTTTTCTGTAAAACCTGCTAAAAATGCTTATTATAGTGGCATCAGTTTATATACTTTACCTTAGTCTGTCTGTTTATATACTTTAGCTCAGTCTAAGGACAGTTAAAACTATGTCACCACTAACATCATGGAAAGCAATACGTATTTGTATCTTAATACATTCACATTTCTAATTTCTAGACATTTCACCAGTTTTCAGTGAGCAGTTCCCCAGACAGAGTAAGAGGGCTAATTTTATTTCCGATCTTAATCAAGGGGCTTTTGATTCACATTTACAAGGAGTGAACAATGAATACTGTGACCAGTGTTAGAGGGGCCCTGCCTCCAGCCAGGTGGAGGAAAGGGACAACCGGGTTTACTAGACTGTGTGGATTCGATGGCCTGGAACATCAGACCCACAGGAGTATAAGGCTCTAGTGGACACTGGTGCACAGTGCACGCTAATGCCATCAAACTATAGAGGGGCAGAACCCATTTGTATTTCTGGAGTGACAGGGGGATCCCAACAGCTAACTGTGTTGGAGGCTGAAGTGAGCCTAACTGGGAATGAGTGGCAGAAGCACCCCATTGTGACTGGCCCAGACGCCTCACGCATCCTTGGCATAGACTACCTCAGGAGAGGGTATTTCAAGGACCCAAAAGGGGTACTGGTGGGTTGCTAGCTGGGGCTAAACCATGACAATGAAGTTGAGTATCTGTGTAGTAGAAATCAGGAAAAAAATTCTTAAAATAAAGTGTGCTGCCTCTTCTATTTCTGCAGTTATCAACTCCCACGTGGTTTCTTCATTTATTCCAAATTAAAGTTCTATCAGACATAAGCCCTTTTCTTGGATCCAATTTAGCAAGGCAAATGGAAAGAAAAAGATCTACAGCAGCCATACAGCGCACCAGAGCTTCGGTCAGCCATAACCATCCAAGAACCTCTGCTCTCCGAATTCACCAGAGATGTATAGAGCAGACAGTCTATAATATCAACGGGTGACCCAACAGCACACACAGCAACTCCTTCAGAACTGAATTCCCTTGAGGGGAAAATATGCTTTCACCATGAAGACTATTAACTTGGGGATATTTATTCCTATTTCCCTTACATATACCTCTTCTCTGGCAGTTACACATGGTTAATGACTTAATTAAAATAATTGGTATAGGCCTAAAGCTAAAATTTTTGTTTAATATAGGAGGAATCTCTTATGGGATACTAAGTAAACATCTGCCACCACAATTTCAGATGCAGAAGACAGTTAATTAACTTCTCAACTTTCAGGCCAGTTCAACTTAGTTTTCTATAAGCAATTACTATGAGTTAAAATGTGACACTCAAGGACTAATTGGGGTGGAGTGGTAAGGACAAGTGATGATTTCCAGATGTAGGAAAGGCATTATATTGATACTGACTATACTAAATTTTTTCCTTTCTTTGTTTCAACTTAAAATGCTTAACTATATGAAGCTTTATGTCGACTTCATTTTGATTCATATAGCTAATTTGGCTAAGTTTTATCTTGCATTGATATGGGCAATGCATTTTGTTAAGAATATAAGGGCAGTGGGCTGTCCTGAGGAGAAGGAGTTTGACTATCAGCTGAAATCAGCACAAATAAATACTCTGGCTTTCTTGCTGACCTTTTCACTCACTCTCTTGTACTTCTGTCTAAACCAAAAGCAAACAGTACAACTCACCATTCCAGCATGGAAACTTTTGTAGGCACCCTCCCCGTTCACTAACCTGTTCAGCTTTCTGATGGAAGATGGAGGACATATCCAGTAATGTGCTACGTTCATCCAAGGCTGCAGCAAACGCCTTCCATTCTTGCTCCAACTGACTAGCAATCTGTTTTATTTGCTGTGAAGCATAATGGCCAGACTCGACCAGGCGATTTGCTACTGACATGATGCGGTTTATGTTTACATACACATTCTATGGAGAAGAAGGAGGGAAAAATTAGTGGAAGTTAGCAGACCACTTAAATACAGAGGATACTTCTATAAAATTCTTCTTTATTACAGTACTGCTTAATAGACTGGTTTTATTTACCAAGTTTGTGCATGCCTAACTTTGGAATCTAGGTGTATAATGTAACAGCCTATCTGTATTATTGACAATGGAGAAGCACAACTTGAAATGACCAGAGAGTCTCAAGCTAACATTAACGTTCAGCTTAAAGTCATATTATGTGAAGACCCACTATTACAATGAAGAGGAAAAGCTACTCACATTTTGCAACAACCTCAACAAGAATCTTTACAGGTGTTCAAGTCAACAAGACATTCAGACACACACAATATAGGAAAATCAAAGTATAATTAGTAGGCACTTGATCTATCCATGGTATGCAGGTGTGCAACATCACTCTACAAATCTTTACATCAACTTCTGAAAGTATTTCTACTTTTTAAGTAACAAAATACAGAACTCCAAGTTCTAAGAAGTTCAACAGTTTTAGGTTTTATTTTTCTGCCACTATATTGCCTCAGAGCTAGCACTGAAAACTAGACAAATAAGGTCAAAGATCAGAAAGATTTTCTGGAGTACTGGCATTACTCACCGATGGCTCTTAGTCACTCTAATTTTCTTTCCTTTTAGCTCACATATGCATTTTGGCCTAAAGTGTCTAAAATCTGTTCCTGTTCCAATTCTGTATGAACAAACAATATTTTTCAAAGGAAGCAATCAAGAGTGTCTGATTCCTGCAAAGCCAGAAACAAGAACTTCACCACGTAGCTCTTCCAGAGCTACGTATACGTAATGCTGAGTTGACACTTCTTTCAATTGGGCTGACTCTCATACATCTAGAATGCAGTTCTTAGAATCACAGGATTGTTGAGGTTGGAGATCATCTAGTCCAACCCCCCTGCTCAAAGCAGGTTCAATCAGAGCAGGCTGCTCAGGGTCATGTCCAGTGGGGTTTTGAGAATCTCTAGGGATGGACAGACCACAAAATCTCTCTGGGCAACTTGTTCCAGTGTTTCTTATGTTTAAATGGAATTTCTTGTGTTTCAACTTGTGCCCATTACCTCTTGTTCTGTTACCGGACACCATGGAGAAAAGCCTGGTTCTGTCTTCTTTACTCCCTCCCATCAGATATTTGTGTTTTTATACACATAAGTTCCCTCCTAAGCATTCCATTATCCAGGGTAACCAATCCCAGCTCTCTTAGCCCCTCCATGTAACAACACAAGCATGCCATACAGGAAATTCAGAGAAGAACTTGTTCATGGTGACTTCCCAGAAAGGGAATGAGAACTTTCCACATAATGTGGTCCTGTAGGCATGTCCTAATTTGTGTGTGTAGACTTGGAGCAATCCCAGGTCAGACGTGTTTTTTTGATTACAGCGTCCCTTTTGTTCAGAACACAGCAGACCCTTTGCTTGCCAGCCCAGTCCACCACTCCTCACTTGATTGTTGGTCCTCTTCTCCCTCTCCCATCATTCTTACCCTAAAGCTCTTCTTACCAGGTTGTCCAGCCTGCTGGCAAAGATATTTTCGCCCCACTTAGTCCAATAGCAATCCTTGATCCTCAGAGAGAGGGTCCCACGGTTGTAGAAACCAAAACCCTGCTGCCCATATCAGCTGTGTAAACAGTTGTTGACCTGCAGGATCCATCTACCCTCTCACCAGCAGGACCGAGAAGAAAACTACCTGGGCTCCTATGCCCTTGACTGTTGCCTCTGGAGCCACGTAGTCATGCTTGAGACTTTCCAGGTCACCCCTGGCAGTATCGCTGGCGCTCACATGGAAGAGCGGCAGGGGGCAGTAGTCCGAGTGCTGGACAAGCTTTGGCAGTCTTTCCACCATGTCCTAAATCCAAGCCCCAGCAAGCAGCAAACTTCCACAGAAGGAAGGTCATATAGTCAGGTTGGCAGATAGGGGTCTCTGCTCCCCTGCAGAAGGGAGTCTCCCATTACTATCACTCGTCTCTTCCTTTTGGTGTTCCTGTGTGGCTCAGACTCAGATGGCACAGATGCTTTATTTGACAGCTCCCAGCTCCTCATCAGCCGTGAGGTCAGTGAACCTATTCTGTAGCTGCAAATCTTCAGGTGGAGCAGAAGTGAACTCTGGCTTCCTCCTAGTGCCAGAAGCTGTTATCTTCCAACCTTCATCATCATGGGATTCTCCACTTCCCAGACAGACAGGCACAGTCTCTGCCTGACCCTCCTCCCTTCAGTACAGTTGGTAGTTTGGGCTCTTGAAGCTGCACAATGTTGGAAAAGATCTGGTCAATCTGTTTCTCATTCTCTCTGATGCTGTGCAGACTGCTGACCTCCTCCTGCAGCTCCTTTAGTTGGTGACACAGATCCTTAGTAACTGCACACCCCCTGTGGGCAAGGAAACCATCTCCTGCTGCTGCAGCCTTGGCAAGAGGCCACAGGCATTCCCTGCAGCCCCGGACCTGCAGAGCTGCGTCCTCCTTCTGGAGCTCCCTCTGGGTTGAGGCCTCTGATGTTACAGGGACAGTCAGTCCAGCAGTAGCTGGGGATTGTGCCCTGGGGCACATCACCACCATTGCAGAGGACATGGATGCTGTTCTGAGCAGAGTTGCTGGCCCCTTCTGCATGAACTGCAGCACAAACTGCTGCATGCATTGGCTACTTCTGTTAGCTGCACTCATTCTTGCTTATATCCTAAAAATCTACCTGTGGGGCCAAACTACCAAACACCATCACACAGAACAGTTGGGAAGAAAACAACAGACACCACTGATATCTCAACATTCTGCAGAGAAATTTTGCTCCCTCTTGTCCACGCAGTGCTTTCTGGAATGCTAGCACAGAAGAAACGCCATGAGCAGTTAGCTACCTGTCAGCAGCAGCATCGCAACCTTCCCCAATCAAGGGTTGAGGAACTGAGTCCAGTGAGCCAGGGGGGACAGAACTGACTGCAACAAGCCTTAGTAAAGGCCACAGATCAACAAGTGACAGAAGAACAAAATCTGAAATTGCTAGAAAACTGTATGGTTATATTACTGTTGAGAGGTGTGATGGACAGCCTGTGCCAAAACCTGACTATACCCCCGCCAGTAAGAGAGGTCAGGACACGTGGACACCCAACGCCACGTAGATGCTGAGCATCTGAGGTGGAACCATTACCTGTTGGCATCGAGCCACTGCCCAGAGCCTGACACTGACTGGCTGGAGCAAGTGTTGCAGTTCCTCCAGGATTCACTGTGCTGACTCATCTGAGTAGTAACTAGCACAGGTCTGTATTGATTATAACTGTATGCACGTATGCAAGCAGGAACATACCTGACACAGCCTACACCTGAGCTGGTTCACTTAATAAATTGAGCACAGCAGTGTCATGTTGGCTTCCTGCACAATGCTATCTTTTCATTTTTTAGGTTATCCTGCACATCTATGCTCTCCTCGTAAGCACAGCCGAACAATTGGAAGAGAACAGAACTGCTGTTTCCAACAAATTTTAGAAGACTGGAGAGCATTTAGGCCTATTAAAGTGTATGTAGCATAAATGCGAGACTGCTACATGAATCCAGAAAGCCATTACATAGTCTTTACAGCGGTGTGAAAAAAACAAGTGTCAAAAGAGAAAAGAATAAAGGCTATATTAGGCTGCCATTTGACTGTTTGTGTATCACAATACAGAATTTTTGAAATTCTGTAATGTCAGTTAGATATGAAAGACAGGGCACCATAAATGTGTAGTTAAACAGATCAAGACTGAGCTGTGGTTAAAACGCATTCATTTTCCCATGGCAATCTGACTTCACAAGCGTGGAAGAATACTCCCTGTAGCAGTGTGAATATGAATGAATATGCTGACAGTTGAACAATTTCCAAGCTATGTATACCACATTCCTTTCCTAAAAAAAAAAAAC